GCGGGGGAGCTGACTCCCTGTGGGAGCATTTTTGCTCCTTCAGCTTATTCTCCCCATCCCTCACCGCACACCTCCATCCTCTTCACTTTCAACTTCACCCATGTAGGGTTTTTTTGGGGCACAGTTGTGTTATAAGAACAACAATATTACATTTCTATTTGCCATAACCACCTGGGCCCCAAATTTTATTKTACATCTTAGACATTCACTCGCCCCGCGACCCGACCCCGGATAGGCGGAAGAAAATGGATGGATGGATGGATGGACATTCACTCATAACATTTTCATGAAATTCACATATAGGAACTTATGGTGGGCACTCATGGCTTTAGGTGGCCGGATGRCACYACTCTCGCCTCCTGTGCCTGTGCCCACCCCCCAAGGTTTGCATATAGACACTTAGGGTTTTGGGTTAGAGTAGTGGTTGAGGGGAAACTGGCACCACGCCGGCCTCTGCCTCTTCTTCTTTCCCTTTTTAAATTGCTCTATAGAACAACACGCACCAACAGTACATCTGGGGGTGGGGGGTGTGGGTGTCAGGGTCTTTATTCCCATCCCATTCCCCAACTGCCATTTGGGGAGGGGGTCCTGAAGAAGGGCAGACCACCGGGTGCGGTCCTGGGCTGTGGGTGGGCTCGGGGCTTGGACGGTTGCCTGGGGTGGGGCTGGCTCTCCATCCTCCCTGGTGCTGCTTGATCTCCTGAGGTGTGGCTCTTGGTTCCTGTGGGTGGCCCCCTGGCCGGGGTGGCTGCCGGGTTCCGGGGGGTGGACGGCTGGGGGGGTGCACTTGGTCGTTGGCGGTGTGGTGGGGTGGTCATGAGTGTGGCTTCTCTGCGGCGGGGGGTTGGCCGGGCGTCCTGGTTGATACTGGTGTTTTTGAAAGAGGTGGGCATGCTTTTTGCATGACTCTTATGAGTCTACTTATTTTAAAGAATCAATAAAATGCTACCCCTTTTTGTTGCATACTCCCAAAAACACAGTCTCTATCAGATTTCAAACATTTATACTGACAGCAAAGCCCTTTGGTCCCGGCAGACCCATGTTTCCAGCTGGTCCTCGGTTTCCAGTAGAACCAGCCGGGCCTGGTTTTCCATCTTCTCCTGCTAAGCTCTAAAAAGACAAGGAGAAATGGGAAATATATTTTTAAAATTGACAAATAAACTGTGCATTATTTGTATTACAATGTACTCTACATTTAGGGAAAGTGGTGTAAAAAAATTTGTACCATTGGTCCTGGTCTGCCCTCTGCTCCCTGAGCACCAATTGGTCCTGTGAGACCCTGAGAAATGAAACATAAGGATTTTAAACATCTAGATGTTTTTTTTCTTTTGGTTGTGCACTTCGTAGGAAATCTTGGGAAACCTTAGAAAACAATCACTAGATTTGACCAACATAAAATGATTGTAGTATAAAACTTTTGCATAAAATACAGCAGGTGGTATATATTCCTTCAAGGAATACTAAGCCTTTAGTTTCTTTAATATTTTCCTTCAAGAAGCAAAGTAGAGCAAATTAGACCTAGTTTTTAACTTTTGCACTGTACTGCATATGCATATTTTATAAAAAATAAATCTGACGTTTATTTAGTTGTTTGAGCTTTAATTATCAAGTGAATTTTAACTTCAATCCACTCTATTTTATCATATCGACACCTTCCTAAAAAAAACTGCACATGATTTTTTTCCAAGTTTTTCCAGGAAACAAAAAACTTAATCAACAATGTACCATATGTACCATTTTTTTAAATTCCTGACTGAGGTGTTGATATTTTTTAAGTCCTGGAAAATACAAAAAACACTAAGATCCAGGATTTTCAATACATTTTAGGATCTCATACTTTGTGTCTATCTTACCCGTGCTCCAGTTAAACCTGGTTCTCCATCACGTCCTGGGTCGCCAATTAAACCTTTACCACCGGGCGATCCTGTTAGCCCCCTTTCACCTTGAGCTCCCTGTTAAGCCGGGAATTACAAGTTTAAAACCAGAGAAACAGATATGATGTAAAAACAAACCAATAATTACTCACCTTTTGGCCCGGCAAACCATCTGCACCGGGGAAACCTCTGTTTCCTGGTGGTCCCTAAATATAAAATACACACATTTTTACATTTTTCTTATGCAGTCCCAAAGAAATTGATGTTCCAAGCTGACTCACTGTCTCTCCTGCTGGTCCTGGAGGCCCAATGGACCCAGCATCACCTCTGGGTCCACGCTTTCCATCCTCTCCCATGGGACCTAATGGACCCGGAAGACCATGGTCACCCTAACACCGATCAGTCAGTCAGTTGGAATCCAAACTTAAAACCTTACAGCTTTAGTGTTTATTTAACTTACTCTTTCTCCTTTGAGTCCAGGTTCTCCTTTGAGTCCAGGAAATCCACCATCACCCTGTTAGATGAAAAGTATTTGAATGTTTTAAATCTCTGGCTCAAACTGAGACAACATTTCATTAAAATAACATCCATACCAGTTGGCCTTTTGGTCCTGTTGCCCCTGTGGTTCCTTGCGGGCCAGGAGGACCAGCTGGTCCTGCAAACCCTGGTGGACCCTGAACACCTGCTAGTCCCTTTAATAATGGAAAATACGTACATTTTTAAATAACATAAAAACTTAACAGAACATTATATAGCCAATTTTCGGGTAAAACCTTTAGGAAGAACTCACAGATGAACCCCGAGCTCCTGGAGCTCCATCAGGTCCTGCAGCACCCTGTTTTGAAATAAAAACTATTATCATTTATTTAAAGCTCAGTGCAGTCTGAGAAAAATAGCTTTACTCTAGATTTTAGATTTAGAAAAAAGTTGGTTGAGTTTTAACTCGCCTGCTGTCCTGTGGGTCCAGCTGGTCCTGCTCGTCCAGCATCTCCTCTGGGTCCCTGCTGCCCTCGACTTCCTCTCACTCCTGTTGGACCGGCTTCACCCTGAACCGGACAACACATTCAGGTCAGATTAAAAAGATATTTAAAGGTTCTCCTTCACATCACACAACACATCAGCTGACCAGTTGGGTACAAATGGTTACCATTTGGTACATGTGTATCAAACCATTTTGCATTCATGGACTTAGCAAATGAATGTATCCTTGTGTAATTATTAGGGCTGTCAAATGATTAAAATTTTTAATCTATTAATTCCAAGGTAGCTGTGAATTAATCATGATTAATCATGATAAATCTTAAACTTAACATAAATATTTAAATTTTTAAAATTTTAAATATTATTTATTTATTAAATAAATAAAATAAAATAAGCCATAAGAAGACAAAAAAAAACTGTACATAATGTGTTACACGTGGAGATTTTTTTAATATTATTTTTTTAACCTTTATTTATCCAGGTAAACTATTTGAGAACCACTTTTCCTTTACAAACATGACCTGGCATACACTGAGTGCATTGCAATATACAAACCTACATATTCAGCCACAGTAAAAAGATTGTAAATTTTAATCGCGATTAAAATTTTTAATCTATGCCCATGCAGCACTAAAATTAATCGGAGTTAACTCCATTAATTTCACAGCCCTAGTAATTATATTCAGTATGTTATTGTTAGTGACCTTATTCTAACCTAAAAATTATGGGTATGAGTTGACCAAAGATGCAAAGATACAGTTTCACAGAGGTACAAGTTGTTCAGATTTTTATTTTATTTATCTTTTGGAGACTATATCTTTTGCCACCAGAGTTTATTATCAGTGTTTGTTTGTAAAATATTAATTATATTACTTTTTGTGTCACTTTAGAGTTTTTACTAAAAACTGATCATAAAATCCGAACCAAATTCTAATAAAACCCCACGTCGCATTTACATTTTAGCAAACACATCAATAGGAGTGAATTAAAAGTTGTTTCTGTTGACTATCTGCCCTGTAGTTTGCACATTGTAAACTTTGCTGTGGTTGTAGCTGAGACTGATCCCCAACACATATTTTGAGCACTATTAAACCGGGCAAGATCTTAGTTTAAAACTAAAGTATTTAAGGTGGTGGGTGATATGCATTCCTTCAAATCATGCTGCTCTTTTTTGTCTCTCTGATGTGCATATTTGATAATCTGTTACTGACAAAAACATTCAATTGCAACAAGAAAATTTCTCTCAAGTCAAGTTAGTGGCACAACTTATTATAAATATAATTGTTTCCTATAGTTGGAAGATTTCACTGTAGATTATACTTAAAATACATTTAAAACCTAAGCTCAAAGGAAGTCTCACCTTGTTTCCTGGATTACCGGGAAATCCTGGCATGCCTGGAATTCCTATTGGACCCTGTAAATAAAGAATTTAAATATTAATTTCTGTGCTCTCTTTGGTTGAGTCAGTGTTTCCCAAATCCTAGTGTTCAATGCATTGTTCAGATTGTGGTTCAGACAAGAGCTGAAGAAACCAGAAATTGTGAAACTGAGCAGCTGATCAATAAGAAGAAACAGACCAATGTGATTTTGAAGGACTGGAGTTGGGATAAGGGATAAATATGTTCATACATCTGGTATGAGCATATTTTTAGGACAATGTCCTTTTTTCTGAACATGAACCATTTTAACACTTAGATGGTTTTATGGGGAAAAACCAGCCAGACATTTATTGTTGTGAGTGTTTTTATTTATGGTGATGCTGCAGTTGGTAGAGCTGTGACCTCTCAGAGAGAGGACTGCCGGATTAAAACTCGGGGATCTTTTTGGGTACAGTTTTTTGTGCATACGTGGCTTTTCTTCAAATACACAAGTTTCCTCTCATAGATCAAAAACGTGCATGTTAGGTTACTTGGTAACTCTAAATCTGGGCTATTCAACTGGCGGCCCGTGGGCTGGATGTGGCCCGTGAGTGACCAAAGTTCGGCCCGCCAATTGCTTCATTCATCTCTTAAGCCCAAAACCCAGTTTTCTACTTTAATTTCTCTAAGTTCTTTTAGTTAAACACAGACATGTTTGGTGTCTACAGAAACATCAGAATGTTACAAGCTGGTAAAAAACATTTCTATGACCACCCAAGACAGTTAAAACTACACGCAGTTGAAGATAAAACGATGAAAGTGAAAATAAAATTGGTTTAAAAATTTGGCAGGTCAGACATGTCACAATATTATTTATGTTAAATAGGAGGCATAATGTGTTCTTTTTGTTTTTGATATTGTTGAATTATCACTACTTTTATAGGGTTCTGTATGTTGTATTCATGATTAAATGCAGCAAAATAAACTAATTCAAAGGTAATAGATCTTTGTAATACTTGGTTTATTTACATAATGACTTTAATTGCTGGATGTTCGGCCCCTCAGCTGTTGACCTGCAGTAACTGTGGCCCCCGGAGCGGTTTAGTTGAATAGCCCTGGTCTAAAATGTATGTAAGGGGGAAGTTCTCACTGCAGGTCTGAATGCTCAAATCCGATTTTTTTTGTGCAAATGTTCACATTATATTTAAAATGTAACCTTCATCAGACAGTAGTGTGAACTCTCCTCAGCACTGATGCAACCCGTATGCACAGAAGGAGACCACACTCAGCAGACTGGGTTTACAGGTGGGTGTTACGTGTTAGCATGTCAATTCTGAAGCTGTGCAATCAGAGAAGATTAAACAGATCAAACTATCAGCTATGATTGTTTCATCCAGTGTTTTTAACTGACCAGCTGCTCTGGTGCAGCGTTGTATTTTTTGAATGGGAGCGACGTGCTTAAAGTAAAACTAAACTAGAAGCACTCGGAGAGTGCAAACCTCCGCCAAGACCAATTTCCCCCATCCTGTATCAGAGTTACAAAAGGGCACACCAATACTACAGTGCCACCTGCTGGACACACTGAAACCCACGCCCTGTGAAAGCATCACAGCTTTGCCGATCTCAGAGTGTTAAAAGAAAAAAATTCCTGTATCTGCACCGTGATCCGGAACATCACCAAAATTTAAAGTTGTGTTCCTTGGCCCAGTACCCACATGTGGTAAAAATTTCATGACAATCTGTCCACAAGTTTTTGAGTAATGTTGTCCACAGACAGACAGACAGACAG